TGAATTCCACCTGATGAAAAATAGCCTCTCGTAATTCCTCCAAAGACAGCGTCATGTTCTTTGCTCTCCCATGTCTCGCTTGCTCTTTCCTCCCTTTTTTTCCCCCAACTAACATACATTTGGTTCCTCCAGCATGCTCCGAGCTGTGCATCCAATGTTTCCTGGGAGGAGACATGTTATAAATATGCTGATCGTATAAGGCAGCAGGGTAGCAGGGAAATATCAAACAAAATGGTGCTTGTGAGATCAATTACATAAAAGAAAATGGAGGTTAAAATGAGAGAGTATAGGCTTCAGCATATGCAGGTGTTGTTCATATTTCACCACCTGCTCGCCAGTTGTCTAATCCTTTTCTCTTTTTTTTTTGGTCAAACCCTGATGTGCTTGTGTTTACATGTGTAACGGTGCCTGATAATCAAAGGTTTCTTACCTTTTTAGGACTGTTTCTAACATTTGTATTACTGGATTTAAAGGACCAGTAATTCCAATTAATTCGTTCTAATTAGGCAGATCTTCATTTCTTTTTCCTTAAAATTCAGATATGGATATGAAGTGAAGAGATTGTGGTTCAGGCTTTGAGTCAGCGGTGTAAACAAATGAATGTCTTTGCAGAGTCCCAATAAGAATAGCTCTGTGTGCCTGTTCCTGTACGCGTGTGTTTTACTGTTGTTTAGAATGTTTGCTGAATGAAGCAGAAAAACCCCTGTGTGGCCGTGCACCTGTCTTTGAGAGGAACCTTGATGATGCTTTTACTACCGTCTCTGCATGTGTGTTGTGGACCGCTGAGATTGTATTCTTTAATTTATGAGATTTAGGTGTATTTCCTGACAAGGAACAGCACTTTTGTCTAAATAAGCCCCTTAGGATGAGAAACACCCATAGCAAACTTAACATCGGTTTTGAGCATGACTCACACAAAATCATAATTTTGAAGTAGTTGAGCTCAAAGTAGATGAAGGTCCCTTTGAGATTCTGAAGCACCTCATTGTAGATTTGGCTGGTGAAGCACCATTATATCTCAATGCCATTTAAATCAAGCGTTTACACTTTCTTTCCCAGTGGTGCCATGTCAAGTAGGGTAGGACAACACTGGGGGGGATAAAGGATGGAGGTTACTTGGCAGAATAGGAGGATAGAGGCCAAGTAAACGCTGAACGGCAATGAGCCCGTCACTCTAAGGGGAAATGCCTATGTTAACCTTTCATCACATGTTCAGAGACAGATGCAGTCTCATTAGAGTTAGTCTAGTGAATGACCTGTTTAAATTATGACGGGAAGAAAAAGAAATAACTTTTCCCTCTTTTACCACCTAATAAACAGTAGCTGCAGCTACATAAAACTGTAGAATGTTTCATTTTATTGAAAACTACAATTGTATGATTGTGAATAGTGAAGATGAAGTCAGGGGTTAAAGGTATCAATAAAATAAATTATTAATTGGTTTAAATTATTTAATCAAAAATATATGACATTTAATTAACATCTCAAATACCCTTGCTTTGTTTACTTTACATCAACTTGTAAAGTATTAATTTAATGGACAAGTACCAATATTTTTAATTCCTAAAATATTCCTTAATTCCGTATTCTAAATGCTGTTCAGGATGTGTAATAATGATAAAATATTTGCTTAGCATTTGAATAATGTTTTCTTCATGTTTGTTAAAATCAGTCATCTGCTTAAGAATTCACTGTTTAAAGTTTGTTGTTTGCTGTATTTATTGTTTTGCATCAGCAGCAAGACTCGTGTTTACAAAGTGCTCTGTCTCAATGTTTTGGCTTTTAATAATATGATTTCATTTAGCTCAAACCCCTTTTAAGCACAACTGGGAAAACCAAAAATAAACAATATTAAAATGTGAAATATTAGTCTTTCTACAGGGCTCATTACATGAGATTAAAAATGGCCTGATTAATCGTTTTCAAATGTTTTATCCCAAACAGATCATTTTGGTGACAGTGTTTAGACTATAAAAAACTTGACAATGACCATGTGATGTAAACCTAATGTTTCTCTAACTGAGTGTAAAGTAATACTATAGTAAGTAATATGTGTATGGCCCTCAAGCACTTTGTTTCACAGTTCAGATTCAACCATATTGTTTTATGTTTCTTTTGAGTTCCAGTGGCTTTTATGTATTTTGTTTTTATTGCATCACACTGACATGGCAAATATTGTATCCATTCATAATGTCAGTGAAAATGATTCCTGGTTTTTACAGGAAGTGATGTCACAGTTGCCTTTTCCGCCCACATTGTCAAATGCATTCCACATGGCAGGTTGCATGGCAACAATCAAGTGTCATTGTCAAAAGGATTTGTGAAATCTAATATCCTGAGGTTGTTGGAGCACAGCATCAGCACAGAGATGCTGGAAAAACCTGCTATACTATACTACTGCAGATAAAACCATATGGATGTATGGTATTAGATCTTTGAGACTTTATTCTGTTCTATTATCGGAGTCTGAATGACCTATTCTTTTGAAACATTATCAGATTATTTTTTAATGAAAAAAGTAAAGAGATGTGACCGGTTTCTATTTTGAATGAAGGAAATTAGTAAAACTGAAGTAAATTTTTTTTTTCACTGTGTCCCACTGCAGCTCGGTACTAAATGACCTACCGACTGTCACCGATCCCCGGATCAGGGATTGGGGACCCCCCAAAACCAGTGCAGATCAATGTGAGCTGTAACTGAACAAGGTCAAAACGCTAGTCCAGGAGTTGTCCTGTTTTTTTTTTTTTTTTTTTTTTTTTTTTTTTGGTTTTGCTGCTGTCCAACACTGTAATTACATTGTTGATCACCTGCAAGGACTACTAAATATTCCAAAGAGAGGTGCTTTATGGTAATGGTTATATCAAACCTTAGGTGCCTCTGAGTTCTGAGTCTCATGTTAGTAATAAAATAAACAACTGA